CCCGGGGAGCAGCCAGGACCCCCTCCTGGGCCCCTCCGGCCTCTCCCGTGGGAAGGGGAAGCCTTGGTGGGGTACTGGCGGGGGGCGGCGGGGATCGAACCCGCTGCTTGTCCGCCTCGCACACTGCCCGCCCCTGCGGTCCGACACCGTGTTCGAACCTGCCTTGTACCGTGTTCTCTCTTACTCCATGTTCATGCCCTCCTTACAGCATGTTATTTCTTACACCACGTTCTCATACCTTTTGACTCTTCAGGTACAACAGGGTCTGCCACCTCACCGCTCAACCACCGCCCTCTCTCCCCCGCCGTCTCCACACGGGCACCCCCCTGGGATGTTGCAAAGTAGATGCTGCTGCGTGAAGCTTTCAAACATATTTTCTCAACTCAGGCACGGGTTGTTTTCTGCTATATGTGTTGCCTGCAAATGTGTGCAGGAATGTGTATGTTGTCCTCATTTTCTTATACTGTTAACAGGATAAACATTGCCATATAGCAATAAAGCACTGGTGAATAATGTAATGTCAATCGTAATGTAAATTTCATTCTGTGTCTCTTTTTCTTGCTTTAAATCCTTTATCCTTATCATGCTCTGTGCTTCCCTTGATCGCCTCAGAGGTAATGCCTGAGAAGTGACCAGAGGGTGGGCTTGGAGCCACCCTCAATCCTAGATGCAGCACCTGGAGCTGCAGCCACAATTGCGTTGTAAATCCAAGTCCAAAACACGGCTGCCAGCTGCCAGCTAAAAGGCACCACAGCCCGGCCCCTTGTTCCCTCTCCAGCCATCAGGAATCACACAGTCAGTGTCATGAGGCGCAGGCTGGGAATCCTTGTCACTCAGCCTTTTCCCCGAGCTGACCGTCGGTGAGACTGACTGAGTACGTGGGGGACTGCTGAGACTGTGATTTCAGAAAAACTAGTGTTGTGTTCTGTTAAAGACTAGGCTGCTGGAGGTGGAGTGTCTCAGCACAGCAGTTGCTCAGTCTGATACCTGTGATAACCAGCTATCAGACAGGTTGCTCAATTTTGAAAATAGAGACACATCAGTGTATGCACTTCTACAGAGCAAGAGTTGGTTTCTTTCAGTCCAATAGTACAGTTCTTCATGGACAACTATTTTCTTTTCAATTCATAAGGTTTTGGACAGATATTTTAGTATTTCTGGCAATGCCAGAGTCAATTAATATCCTTTTTTTTTTGTCTCCTTCATGCTATAAGTACCAGTTGAGCCTGGCACCAAAAACTGTTAGCACTGTTAAATTAATAATTAATTCTTAAGCACTGAAAGAACTGAAATTCCTTTGACAAGTTCCTTTCTTGTGAAAGAAACATAACAGAAAAAAAATGTGACTAGTATTGTCCATTAAAATACATAAATAATTTGTGAAAGATCTTAAACACACAACCACTATAAATATCTTCCTCACTGTCTCAAATGGTGAGAGAGTGTGTACTAGTGACTGGGAGAGTCAGGACATACGTTCCAATTCCGGCTTTGGCTGTTAGTTGCAGACCACCTTCAGAACAAAAGTGTTTATTAAATATTTAAAATTAGGTGTAGTATTAAAGCAAATTTTTATATTTAAAAAAACCAAAAAAACACATACACATCATAATACAGAGCCAATGGCAGTAGCAAATTAAATGCAATAAGCGTTCTCATACGTACAGTACCTATTAAACACTTGTATGCATTCATACCGACATGCATGTAGAATTTGCACTCCACTTGTAATCTTCCAGTATCATTCCCCAATATTAAAAGTATTTCAAACCATTTTAATTTTGTTGATTAATTCTTTATGGCATGGATTTAACACAGCATTTTTCTTTTAATTTGGATTATTCCAAACTACAGACTATTACTAGTATTCTTTGATGTTGATGAAATACTATCCAATTATACAACGAGGCAACATGAATCATGTGCAAAATAGAGTTTAGGGGTCTTAAAGCATCTTATAATGTCAGTAGAAGTTTTTGCATTTATGGATTTTATCACCACATATCAATTCTGTCGTAAATTACTGCTTTATGCACATTCATTTATTGTATTTATATTACTGCTTTCTAACAGAATATTCACTCTAGCAGTCTACATCCTGGACAGTTTTCTAGCTAAAAAAACCCAAAAGACACATACCTGGACACAGATACCTTCCTACGTATGTGTGTGTCTGTTATAAAAAATAATTCTTTTATTGCTGAGCAAAAATACATAGTAGCTTGTACTGGATCTAATGGGAGAAAATACAGCTGCTCTGACAGTCTGCAAAAGGAAGAGAGTAATTCCAATGGTAAAGACCCACAGAGGATGCCCAGCTGGCAGCTCTCTCCAGCCGATCCACTGCACTGTGGCACAGCCTGAAATGGCAGCTTCCCAAATCGTCAGGCACAGATCCTTCACGGTAAGACAGTGACATAATCGGCGTCATCAATTTCTGTAAAGTATTAGATAAAAACAAAACAGGATGTTGTCATTGCAAGTGGCCCTTCTGAAAGGCCCCAGTAAGCAGGGTGGTCTGTGGCAGGGCGGGTGTCAGTAACTCAATTTTGTTTCTCACTATTCTCTCTGCTGTTGCAGGGTCAATGTTTAGGCCCCCTGTCCTGTGGACTGGGTTTGCCAGCAGCCCACACAGAGGCAAATCCTGCATTGCCTTTTCTGAGCCATGAAGCTCTGTTATAAACAGTTGTATCCGTGTGAGACCCCCTTCTTCCTGAGGAGCAGTGAAATGTTGGAAATCATTCATACTTGGTAAATCAGATCAATAGCCCAGATATCTGTGACTATCTCATAACACATCCTTTCTTCTTTAAATAAATACCCAGGAGAAAAGGTCTCATCCCAACCAAGGCAGGAGAGCCTGAAGAAACCCTTTCTCTCTTACACTTTGTTCAGATTTATTATGCTTTTTGAGAAGCCAGGGAAAAAGCAGAAATTGCACGCTTGGGACTCAAAACTCCACTATGGAAACTTACTGCTCTTCAGGCAGCCACTCTCAGACAAGCTGTTCCTAGGCTAGAAAACAAAAGTTCAGAAATCTCCAACCACCAGGATCGTGACTCCAGTCCCTTGAGGTGTTCCACTGGTAGCACTGGAGCGCTCAGTCCCACATGTGCAGCAAAGCCAGCTGCTGGTGCAACATGAGGGACTGGGACAGGAAAATACAGTGCTTGCTTTGGGGAGCACTGCGGTGTGTTGTGAGGTGCCTGTGTTTCAGGGGGATCCATCATGACATTAACCTGAGCTCCCCTTGTGACCACGTAATAATGCAGTTCTGAGGAGAAAGTTTGGACTGCTGGATAAGTGAAATTTAAATTAAAATTGAATAACAACAATTCCAAAGTACTTGGATTATTTCTAATAGCCTCCATTTTTATGGACAACCACAAATATTTTGACAGTGAAATGAAAGGGTTTGTTTTCCTCCCTATGTGTCCAGAACAGAGCATTGTGCATCTACTAGAAAAATCCTTGTTGCAGGACCAGACAATAAAATATGTATTACACCTGATATTTCCTAAAAACATATCCATGCTACTGCAGTATTTTCCAGCTCCCCAGAGCAGCAACGGTAAGATACTATAAAAACGTTTTTAGAGCAAATGTGGCCTATCTGCCTTCTGATGCAGGTGACAAGGTGATGTTGAAGACATGGGAAATACCTCTCTGCTGCTGTTTCCCTCAGTCTGTTGGGCTCAGGGAGCGCCAGGACTGTTGCAGGGCTGTTGTGTTCAAAAAACGCAGTAACTGCAGCACAGAGAGGCTGCCCCACACCACTGCACTGAGCTATTGTTAGGCGTGAGATGTAAATCACACAGCAGATTGGAGACTTATAGGTTTTGTTTCCTTTACAGTAATGGTACTTAATGAAAGGATTTCCCTTGCTCACGTGTTCCCTGGCTTTGACTCTTGTCACAGTCAGAGGACACTGAACAGTTTCAGGGTTATTTTTCAGCCTGTGGCCTGATGGATGCTGCAGCTGAGCACAGCACAGCAGTAACATGAAGAGTGGCTTTCAGAGGTGTGTGAGGGGTACTGGCAAGTTACCAATAGCATGTCCAGTCATTCCTCCCAAAACAAGGCTGTTTGGATTGACATGGGGCTATAGAACATTCTAAAGTTTTATGAAAACCTGCACCTTTATTGCATCTATTTCCATAATTCTGTCATGTAGAAATATCATATCCCTGTCTTACACCTGAGACTCATGAGCACAAATTAGCAGAAGAAGATCAATGAGAGGCTGAACTCTCTGGTTCCAAATCTGTGATTCTGAGTACCAGGCTATATGCTTATTAATTAGTCATATTTTAATACAAATCACAATTAATTACAAGATGACTGGTTTTTTTCCTTCTTTTTTTTTTCTTGCTCCCCTCCCCCCCCTAGTCTCAGAAATAACTGAGTTAGTTTTTCATGTAAAAATAGCTTAGAACCTGGACAATGAAGGTAAAGGACAGCTTCAAGTCCCAGTGAAGTGCAAGGGCCTGCTGGCACCTCGGCAGAACCACATTGGGTAAAACTGGTTCTCAGCCTTCCCTAGCTTAGAAATGTCAACATCCATGAGGGATTGAGATGTGGGCAACATCATGATTCTGTATCTCTCACAATTTTAATTTTTTAATTTGTAGTGGATGAGGGTAAGTAGCTTAAGTGACCTGTGAGCTAAGAATAACCATTTTCAGTGAACATAAGAGAGAAGGGAGAACGTCGAACTTCTGTCCACATGAGAGGACATTTAGCAGCTATTTACCACAAACCTGTCAAAGCTGTCATCTTAGAAAAACCCACAAAGGCAGAGCTAAATTTCTCACCGCTATAAACCTTGTCTATTCCTGAGTTGAACCTCTGGCTTCTTTGCGAGGCCTTCTGTTTCTTCACTGGGTAGCGGAGGTTTGTTATTAGTCCTTGATCTGGCTTTTCAAAAGCATATATCAGGTCCTTTAATGTTCTGAAGATCCTCTCTGGAGCACCTTCAGAAGTCTGCAAGGAAAAGACAACAAAGTTTGTTTGCAACTGTCCTTCCCATGGAGTCCCCTAAATGAAAGGAATTATAGGTTGCTTCTTATTTACCAAGGACCTGTTCGTAAACAGGTTTGGTGACAGAATATTGTACTGTCCTTAAAACACTTGGGACACCTGTTTGGTAGCATTGATTTGGCACTGAGAGTAACCTCCCTCATCTTTTTTATTTTTTCCCCAAAAGAGCATACATTTATAATATTGGTGTAGATGTGGGCTGCAGCAACCCACAACAGCAGAGCACCAAAGAGAGACAGCATTACACACTCCCCACTGGTCTTAGAGCATAAGTTTAGGGATAACATATTTAGTTCTCACTTAAAATGTTGTATTTAAATAACTATGTAACAAACAGGAGCCAAACTTTTACAAAATGTCAGCACTGTCAAGTATAGGACATGTGCAGTGGTGGCAGATGTGTCTGAGGATCCGTACAAAAGCCCCCAGCTTTCAGTATCAGGCAGGGGTTTATTGTCTGTCCAGCTTTGTAACTTGCCTTGGAGACTCCTGAGGCTAAAAATGGAGAATGGTACTCCTTAGGGGAGCAACAATGTTCTCACAGCCTGCTTTTGAAGTGTGGGTTCATACAACAAGACCGAACTGCTTCCATGGCACAGCCCCACAGGAATTTGTACTCAGACTTTACAGTGCTGGTGACTTCAGGGCCAGACAGTGAGCACATCAATCAGCTCTAATCACAGCAAGCATCCTCATTAAAAGTGAACGGGGCTGTGGATTCAGTTAATTCACCATCTAACAAAGAAACGTGTCTTTATTTTCTTTGGTTTTCCGCATCCTTTATCTTTCATTCAGCCCTGTATGGACTTTGTGCCACTGTCTCTGTGTACAAGATCTGGCTGGGATGGAGTTAACACTCTTTGTAGAAGCCTGGATAGTGCTGTGTTTTGAAAGTGTGACTAAAACTGTGGATAACACACCCATGTTTTGGTTGTTGCTGAACAGTGCTCATGCAGCCTTCAGATTGTTCTTTTTTTCACATTTTGCTTCCCTAGTGAGTAGCTTGAGGGTGTGCAACATGCTGGGAGGTGACACAGAAGGACAGCAGATCTGAATGTGCCAAAGGGCTATCCTATCCCACGCCATGCCATGCCATGCCATGCCATGCCATGCCATCCCATCCCATCCCATCCCACACTGTGATCAGCAATAAAAGCCCAGGGAAAGTGAAGAAGTTTGTGTTATGGCATTTGTCTTCTCATGTAAACATTGTGTTTACATGATGTTTTCTAGGAGGTGGCCGCCTCCTGATGTGAAGGGGTGACTAAATTCCATCTTTGCTTTGCTTGCATGCACAACTTTGCTTTACCTATTTAAATGGCCCAGGAGTTTCCTCACTTTTGATCTTCATGTTCTCTTCCCCCCGCCTCCCCTGTTAGGCAGGGCAAGGAATGAGCAGCTGTGGGGGTGCTTAGCTGCTGATGGGGACAAACTACCACACTCTAGAAAGCTCGTGGCTGAATCTGGCCTTTAAAAACCCCCAAACAGTCTCTCCTCCACCATCAGTATATTATTTCAGTCTAGTTTAGTAAGCCCAAACAATCTGACTTAAAATTTTGAAGAACAAAACTCTTCTTTCACATTCTTGGCAAAACCTTGTAAAGAAAAGTGGGTTTGAAAAAACTAAAAGTGTCTGAGTTATTACCTGCTGGTAGGAATGACAGCAAACCCCGCTACCATGGCTATAGTCCAAAACATACTATTTTTTTAAACAAACCATTCTTCTTCATGGCAAATTGCATCTTTCATACATTAGTGGAAAACCACTAATAAGCAATAAATTACCAGCCTGTGAGAGCTTGGCATGTTTTTTATGAAGTGATTTCCTCGTTCCACTTAAATGCTACTTAATTGTTGGCAGTCCTTTTGGCTGTCTTACTACATGCAGGGTAGGGAGCCAGCTTTATGGGCGTCCTCTCACATTGCCTGGGGATTTGATTGATGCAGTAGTCTGCTCTTACACTTATCTTTTCTTGAATAAGCAGCATTATCTGCTGCTTCATCACTTCAGGTGCTTCACAATCACACAGAATTATAGATCCTCTAAATGAAAAAGATCATTGCAATATTCCAGATCCCTATGAGATGCTGTGTGCGATGGCAGAGCTTTCAAGTAGAAAGAGCTAATTAGGAACAGGAGCAAGTAACAAAAATGATAGATTTTTCTTCAGTGATATCAAAAAGAAATGGTCAAATCAGAAAGCAACTGGTTAATAAATAATAGATCTGCTTAGATTATAAGGAAGTTCTACAAAAACAGTAGCTACTTTTGAGCTCATATGTAATAATAAATATAACATCAGAAAGACAAGAAATGAGTAGAGAAGAAAGCAAACTTGTAAATATTTTCTATGGTATTGTGTTTATGTATTTTTTTTAAATCTATGATCTATGATAGATCAAATTATCATACACTAAAATGATCATTGATCAACTATGATCTTTTAATCTATGATTTTTAAAATTTAAGATCTTTAGTGCAATCTCTAGGTATATAATGAGAGTTACTCACCTGTATTCTAAAATATCCTTGGTGCTCCCTGAAGATACGGTAAGTGTAGACGAGGTTTTCAAAGCTGTGAAAAACATAGTTGTATACATAATACACCACATTTGTAACTAAGTGCAAGACTAGAGATATCTTCAAACAGGAGATAGTATTACAGATATGAGAAGTTGTGCAGTAAAATTCAATGAGACAGAGGCAGAAAAGCAAAGCAGAAGATTGCAAAAAAACAGAGATTGCACAATGAGTGAAGGTTTAATATCTTGAAATACAAGATTACTCTAACTAGGAGTTTCCAAGAATTTATGAACTAAACCTAAAACACAGACCTTTTATAAGCATAATTTGATTCCACAGACATCATCTCCTCTTATCTGTCTTCTTATCCTGCTCTAGTGTGATATCTCCCTGAACTTCATTTTGATATTCTATCACAAGAAAGCTGTTGAATTCTTGGAGAGATGTTAGTAGAAAACGGCCTCCAGTCACCAGGACCCAGAAAATTACTGCATTGCTCCTACTTCTAAGAAAATTGTTCTTCCTTTATATTTCCCAGGTTTTTAATTACTGTTATTTTTAATAACATGCAGGTGTTTGAACACTAAGGCTACTGATGTCTTTGGATGTAATTTGTCAGCAAAAATTAAAGCTTTATCAAGTACTGCGGTGGCAGCAACTCAAGAGGTGAACTCAAGATCGTGACTGTGATGAAAAAAGGCAGCAGAGTTGCAAAAAGATGTACACCACAAATAAGTGAGAGGGTTGGGGAGCGGGGAGCAGTGTCTGAAAACAAGTTCTTTTAACTGGTATGCGTGTTCATCGAAAGAACTTTAGCTGTGGCTAAGTGAATTGAGCTGTCTTGAGTGGGAGAATCTTAGGGTGAAAACCTGTATCAGGGGACTTGCACATAAATAAAGAGTTACCCTGAAATAAACTGCTTTGTTTTGCAAAAAGAGTTACTCTGGACTGAGATCAGGAGAAGGCTTCCAGTTATAATAGATTTATTTTAATTCAAAGAGTGGTATCACAAGGATGCATGTTTTCTTCTTGATATACCTGTGGAAATCCACATGTTCCTTGCTTAAGAGTACTTTATGAATGTAAGTGCTCATTTTTTGAACAAAGACAGAGAAGTGAGAAAAAAATACCAGAAACTGGTAATTTTTGTAACTCATTTTTTACCGATCATCTAAATTTTAAAAGGTTACTGCCTGGATATTATTTAGCTACTGTACCTTTTATTAAATAAACATGAAACTACCATTAGAAAGGAAACTTCTGTTTCCACATTAACTACTAAATGCTTATCAAGAGCTGGTAATAGAGTACAAATTAATATTACCTGGCCTAGGCACAGGGGAGATCCAGTGGCAGAAAATCAAGGTGAGAGGATAATGATGTTGAATCATAAGGAAAGCAGTAGCAAGTGCAGTAGATCTTGACTGAGGCACTGTCAGAGACCTGGGACAGTTTTGGATGAAAATGACAGTGTGCTGTGGAGGAAGATGTATCAGCAGAGCTGTGCACCATGATTTGTTAGAGAAGAGATGCTTTTGAATTGGTTCACACCATTCTGACTCCCAGATTCTCCATGGAAGTCCACTCCTCCCCATATCCCAATAATAGAGAACAAAAAAAGGTTGGTTGTTTGCAAGTGGATCAGGATCTCTGCCCAGGGATCAGCTAATTTGAGAAAGGTGCATCAGTTTGTGCATCAACCATGTCAGGTGCTAAGCAAAGTTTCAAGATGCAATTCTAATCCAGAAGTTGTCTTGAAACAGCACTGAGAGTTTCAGTGTTGATCTCCCCCAGTTTTAGGTCTGCTTTCCTCTGACTATTGAACTGCCAGGAAGTCCAGTCTCTGAGGCAATTCTCAGCCAACACACTGTTACCATCCCACGTGCTATCTGAAGATAGGCCTTGCTTTTACCTGTTACACCACTGCTGCCACTCCTTCAGTTTAACTATTGCATTTATTAATGTATGAGTTACAGTCAAATGCACTAAACACTAATGTTCTCTTAGTTTTTAACACTAAAAACCCACAGAGGCAAGCTGGAAGTCACATGGTTTTTTGCACGCCTGCCTAGATATCACACTGTGACAGACCAAAGCATGTCTGCAAGATATCACAAGTTAAATCTACCTTGCCCTTAACAAAAAAAAAAAGCAGACAAAAAAAGCCCAACCCAAACAAAGCAAAAAAACCCAAAAGGGACATTTGTCCCTTTTGTACCTTCTGACAGGGTACGCAAGCCCATTCCCTCCCACGCTCCTTGTCGTCCTCTCACCCCCTACATTGTCTCATTCCACACCACAGTGAAAGCAGGTTCCCATAGTTCCCTCCCTGAGGGCTCTGTTTGTCCCCCACTTGCTATTTCCCTTCTCCTTTTTCTGTCCTTGCGCAGACCTCCTCTCTTCTATCTACCAACCCTATAGTACTACGTTTTTCTCTCCCTTTTTCTCCCTTCTCCTTTGATTCGTTTCATAAGAAATGCATTTTTAGTCATTGATAAAACAATTTCTTGTATTTTTGAATTAATTAGATGTGCTGTTAAAAATTTTTGATGTCACGCTCAAACACATCCTCATGGAAAGTGTAAAACCTCACAGGTTCAAGCAAGGAAAGACCTAGATTCTAATTTATAAACTTTAATACATTAGGAACAGATCAATTATATATGAGAAGTGTAAAACAACCTTCTTGACAGGGAAATAAAAGTGCTATTCCCTACAGGAGAAGAAAATAATAAAATTTTAATTGTAGTAATTAAAGTTAAGGACTAGAAGTAGCAATTTTTTATGCCCATCTTGTCCGTGGATTTGTCATATGAATTCAAACAGGAGTTTGTAACTTTCTGTCTCAGCTTATATTCTTATTTCAGGTAAAATTCCTTTGAAACACAAGGGTAATCTTTCATCAGGGAGAAATTCTACAAAGAAGGAAGTGTTTTGTAGCACACTATGAGACTTTTCAGTCTCTCAACAGTGCTAAAATGCTGTTTACTCATCATTACAGAGGCAGTTACTTTGAGTAAGGTTCTTAACATGTTTTGGCAGGCTAAGCTATTTTCTTTGGGCTCCCCTTAATGTCTGCAGAGAGAGACCAGCACCAACAGATTACAGTTCATTTATTGTCTGTTACATAAAATATTTTTTGCAAATTCCATCCTCTATCCACTTACTGTAAAGGAAGCCTAAGATGACCGGCACTACTTGAATGCATAGACACACTCCCTTGGGGTCTGTTAGAGAAGAACCATTAGAGTTAGAGAAGATGAATGTTCCCTTTGGATCCATCTGAAAACTGGCTAAAAAAATCAGTATTAGAGTACTTACAAAATACACAGACACAAGGCTCCTTCCACGCTCTCGCTCTCTCGTACTAAATAGCTACCATTCTTTCTCTTCTTGGCCAGCAGTTCTTCACAAGTTCTTCTTGTTATCTTTCCATGAAAAAATGGCAACTCCATGGACAAAAGAAAACAAGGTATCTTGCCTTTCAAAGCAATTCCAGAGGAAGTCAGAAGCCTGGCATTAAAAGAAGACTTATTCCAAGAGCAGCTGCCTGCAGAGAACTGAAACTGGAGGCACTAAGTACACACACGAGTTCTTCTGTGTTGTTCACTGACCAGTCCAATGTGAGGCTGGTTAGCAGCTGCTGCTCACAGCTAATAAATGCAGTGAAGGCAGGAAAGGGTTGGTCTACATTGGTTGCCATCCACATCAAAAAGGTATATAACTGTTGAGTTATATACCACACCTCTAAGTTATGGAATAACTAAGTTGACACCAGAGTATGGTTATCTTTTTAAGTTAACTTTTTATGTTTAAAGTGGCTCAAAGCCCTGCAAATAGGGTCGTATGCTACAGGAATAAGTCAGGACTGTATAGAGAAGGAGAAAATTATCTAAAGAAACTCTTGACTTTTTTATTCAGAATTAATTGGTGAATTTGAGAAGAGAAAATGAGTGTTTGTGATGTTCTAATCAGCCTCAGTCATGAAGCCATAGAAAGTTCCAGAAGAGACTTGGCAATTCTCTGTTCATGCAGAGGTTTAAACAAATTTCATCAAAATAAGCTGTAGAACTACACAAGGTGTTTAATAGAGAAACAGTGTGAGGTGGAGGGTTTCTCCCTGGCTGGCTTCTTGACACCAGGCTGGGAAAAACAACCTGTGAAAAAAACGAGGTAAATTCTGACCAAACACTGTAAGCAGGAGTACCCATGTTGTACATGCAGCTATTACTTTCATGTTTCTTACTCTGACAACTTTATACACACAAAAATCTGATATTAACATTAGTGTATTTAACTGCAAGTTAATCATGCATGTCACTAAGATGATTTCCAGGGGTATCTTAGTTCAGGAATAAAGCAATAAGGTACTGTTTTGTCTCAAAGAACTTTCGAGACTTATAAAAAAAAAACATACCCTCAAAAGAGAAACTTAGAAATGGCAAGTCCAAAGTGACAGTAGAGCTGAGGTCTGTACTGCAGTCACCACAGATTGCAAACAAAACAAGTCCCCATCCCCAAGCGGATGAACTTGTGTCTGTACTTAGAACCTCCAATTTCCATTGTCTGCAGACAGCAGCATTTGGAATAAGTCTTCTTTTATCCCCTGAGGGGATGGGGATAGAGGTGTTGGGGGGAGATACCCTTTCCTTCCAAGTGTCCATAAGAGCATATGACAAATATTCTCCTTGCTTTGAAATACACTTGTATTTTCCTACCAGTTAAAACTGTTTGGGGCACATCTTATAAATAAACATTTTCCATGAGGTATTGTGAGGTGAATGGCTTTTCCAGAAGCCCAGCTCTGCAAAGGAAGAGCAGCAGCTGCTCAGCGGTGCCCTGCTTCAGGCAGATCCTCTCTCCTCAGCATTGAAAGGAAGATAAATGGGAAACAACTGCGAATTCCTCTTTCAGAAAGGTAATGACTAGATCTTCTTCACAATTTTCCCTAAAGACCTCATTATCTAGTGCAGAAATAGAAGACAGTAGTTTCAGTAGATCTTGCAGATCTGAATCCAGAAGTTACTTAAAGGGAAACAACAACCAGATGCTGCCCACTGATGGCTTAGTAGAGTGCTCCTCTGATGACAAAAAAACCTGGAGAAGGAGAAAGTGCTTGAGGAGAATTGGGGCCTAGGGTCTCCTTCCAGCGACAGTCACCATCCCCTGCTCTGACCACCTTCCTCCTCAGTTGTTTCCATGGCTCCCAGAGGGCACTCACGAATTAAGAGCATCCTTTTTCCTTACCTTACCTATCTGTAGTCTTTAAATGGGCCTGAGAATAGGAGCTTGATTTAAAAGCAGATATCATAGAAGTACACCAGAGAAAGGGGGCTGGGAAGGAGAAAGAAGAGAGAGGCTATAAATACAGTGCGGTCTGTCACTAAACTACAAACATGATTCTGTGACCAGGCACAGGAACTTTACATTGTGTCTTGTATGCTTACATATATATATATGTGTGTGTGTGTGTGTGTTTTGCTCTGACACTGGAGGGCAAAAATGCACAGCTTCTGGGAAAAATAAAACAGGACTTGCAGTTCCCAGCCTGGGATACCTGCTGATGGAAGGGGAGGTGAGATTTCCTGGTCAATCACCTCAGAGCTGCGCTGTGAGCCTCAATACAGCTTGTACCATACAGCATTGAGTCTTCATTATGTATGTTGGGATCACATAACAATATATTTCCACAAGCCAAATTTAGCTGTAAACTCTGAGCAAACATTTCCTAACAAAGTATTTATGGCTTAACAAATTTAGCAGGTATTTTTGGCTTACACAAACCTGCATACCCAGGCTGCCTTCTCAGCTGAGTCTGAGGGGTGGTCAGAAATATGAGCTGGTGGTATCAATTGTGCTGAGATCTGTGATGAGAGGCCTGGGAAGGTAGAATGGCAGTGATGTCCCAAGGCAATGGGGCTTGAGTGGTTGAGGCAGTCACACCAGGCTGAGCCTCTAGGCATTATCACTCAGATCTTAGCTACACCAAATCAAGCAATGACTGTTGTGAGTCTGCTCTTAAAATCATTTTACTCCATTCCAAAATAGGAATTGGTCTGTTTTTTTCTTCTCATCTACTGAAGGAGATTTCACAGTTTCTAGGATAGCCTCCTTGCAGCGACTAACTAGCCTTTCAGATGATAGAGAAAAGGGGAAAAGCAAAGTTCTTTTTCCTGGTAGACTGCTTCTTGGCCTGCTTCTACCATAGCATAGAAAAAACTAATAGAGTATCACTTCCTAAAAATCTTTGTATGTCAAAAGAATTACATCCTTTAGTCAAGTTTTTTGTTTTATGAAGTTAAGGCAATCGATTCCTGCAGTCTTTTCCCACAAGCCACATTTTCTGGCAATTGTTCTCTTTACTTTCTCTGACACCACCTTGGCTAAAACTTGTATAGAATTTGATGCCTACAAATGATCTAAATCTTTTGATTAGAAGAACAGGATAGTTAGCCACTCTTCCTTTGACAGAACAGCTGTTAGAGAAACAAGACCTGCAACATTTTGGAAGCAGTGTTGAGTCCTAGTTGACCATATATCTAATTGGTTTTCTGCCATTCTATTACCTTTACTAATTTTCATTTTTTTCCCCTCTTGTAATCATAAAACTTAGTGGGGCCATTTCAGAGTGAAACCTCATGTTATCAAGCACACTTTGGGCCATGGTTTTACATCTCCTGGCTGTAGTTCTAACATAGCAAAGCTCTTGATAGTGCTTTCTGTCAGGATAGGAAATCTGAGGAAGAGCTAGGCTGCTTGACAACACTGAGAGTTAAGCATTCATCAATACTCAGGGAGAATGTGGGATACCAGGGTTAGATTGAAAGTGGAATACCACGGTTAGATTGAAAGCTGTATTCAAAAGCAGCTAAAAGCAAAACCAATGTGCTTGAACTGTTGTGAATAAAGCAGGAAGCTGAAGGGTCATTTGTTATTTGACCAGAAAAAAGAAACAACCACAAAATAAGAAAACAGAAAGTAAGTTCTGAGAATCTGAGTCTCCTGACAGCCTGAGATCTCATTGAGCTATGTTGTTAGGCAGTCACAGTCCTGTAGCTACTGTACAAACAGAACCAATTAGGTTTTTGCAATAAGTACCACTATAGCAAGAAATTACCTCTTATTTTGCAAAATTCACGAATGTAGCATGATATTTACACCAGTCTGTATTTTTGCAATGTGCTGTGTCTGGGTACAAATGGGGTTTTTTTTGGTATTTGTTGATGATAAGATTTAATTTATACCAAAAGAAAAATCATTTTGTAAATTCAAGAAGAAAATTGAACTACTGTGTCTATTAGTTACAGATTGCTGCTAGAGCTCTCTGTGGAGCCCCAAGGCATCAGAGCTCTGCCATTAACATTCTAATAAAATGTAAACCTAGGAGGAAAAGTCTGTTTTATAACCCTCTTAACGTATTGCCTTTTTTAAATAAAAGTAAATTGAAAATGATAATTGAAAATTAAAATGATAATTCAAAACTTATCTGTGCTAAAAATTGAATTAAAAAGTCACAGAACCAAACAATTAAAAAAAGTTATATAAGATTTATGAGTAAGTGTAAGTAGTGGGTTCTGGTTTTGAAATTATCTAGAATTTTGCTTAAAAATTTACTTGCAAGATAGAGCTGCAAAAGAACATTTTCCTTCTCACTGGCAACCATGCTCTCAGGGTTCACAGTGATCCATATGCAATTACACTCTGAGCTTAGAATAGCTGCAATTGTTGTATTTAAGTGTTATGACCTGCCCCTGAGACAGGGTAACAGGTTCTTTTTAATAGATTCCTTGGGGTGAATTAGAATGAAATGACACTGAATGACTGGTGTATATATAAGGCAGATTTATTTTAAAATTATTTAATTGCAGCAGAAAGGAGTTATGTAGCAGTTTTGGTTCTTTTCTGTAAAAATATAAAAATATCACATCCTGAAAATTCATCTCCTAAAACATCATTCATTGATATTGAATATCACATAAATCAATTAAAGATCATAAAGCCCCCAAAATACTGCCTTCCTGTTAAGAAATATGCAAATAAAGCTGTGGGAAATGACAAAACTCACATGTAATCACATTTTTATACTTCTTATGAATACTCTCTCAAGTATAACTACAATATAAAGCTTGTAGCTTTTGTCCTAATATTTTACAAGACTCTGACTACAGTGTTCATCTGTCTACATCTAGAGTCACATTAACACTGACATCTTTTTTACCTTCTGAATTTACTCTTACTAACAGATCTTTTCACTGTTACTAATATTTTCTCACTCATTAAGTTGCCAATGTCCTGTCCAGAATGCTGTGTACATGGAACTACAGCTTGCCACTTTGGAAGGGCGCTGCTGTTTTCTCGTCTTTGCATAATATTGAAAACAATGCTTCCCCCCCCCCCCCCGTAATGAAAAACAAATGAGAATGATGCAGAGCTCTTCAGAGGGCTTTTGTATAATTTTCTAAACCACTTT